TGAGGGGCGGCTGGGCAGCTGAGTCGGTTAAGCCTCTGCCTTCGGCTTAGGTCATGATCGCAGGGTCCTGGGATCAAGCCCTGCATCAGGCTCCCTGCTCGTGCTCACTCTCTTTCTTGCTCAAATAAATAAAATCTTAAAAAATAATAGAGGACATAAAACATCCTATCATTTGCAAGTACGCAACAGATTTGAAAACCTCAGTAACGTGGTTTCCATGAAGCAATGCAGAGAAACACATTTTACAAAACAAAGAAAAAACCATTGTTTTGAATTACATGTTAAAAAAAAAAAAAAAACCTGGGAAATTACATGTATCAACAGAAAGGAATTAAGCATACTGGGTTTATCTCTTAGATAGCAGTAAGCCAGTCAGCTCTAGGTGAGAATTGCCACAAACCGCTATACACTCACAAGTGCTTATTCCAATTATAGAAACATCCAGAAGGAAGAAATACAGGGCTACTGGAGCCTCTCTACAGTGCAACAAGGAAAGGAGGCTTCCGCATCTGAGGCTGCGCATTAATTCCGTCAGGGGGAAGCAGGACACAGATCTATCCTGACAGGGACATGATGCTTACCACAGAAATCATGTGGTAGAAAAAGCATGGGAGAGGAGAGGTGCCAGGATGAGAGAGATCCCTACACACGATGGCCTGAAAGAGGTGGCCTCACGGACACAAAGAGCCACAGGGCAGCGCAAGGAACCATGTGGACCTGAAGACCGAGCTGGTCCATCACAGGAGAGCTCGTGGAAAAGTCTCTGGAGCGTGCTACCGGACAAAAACTGATGTCAAACTTGTGTCAGGTTGGAGGCTGTTCCAGACGACAGATCGGTAATCAGGAAGATGCGCTGTGACCCAAGCCCATGTGGGTGCCCACACATCTCTGTCTCCTGCCGGAAAAGCATAGCTTCGTCACGCAGTTTCTTTCCTCACGGCCTTCATCTCAGAACCACAGAGAGGAGGACTCTGGGACACATGGTCTCCCACCTCACCACGCTCACAATGAAGTTCAGTAGAACCAGCCAGACGCCAGGCTTCATCTTCACGCCACAGGGTTTCTCTTCTTAATGCATCATGACTGACGAACAACCGAGATGAAGCGCCATCAGCAGAGGCCAAAACAGGAACACAACTGGAGGAGACTGTGCTCTTTCAGCATCCCTGCACGTTTACTCATTTCTGTGGGGCGCAGAGGTGTGGTATACAGCGGCAGTAAGCAAACATGAAGATACATCATTCAATCATGAAGACTGGAAGGAAGAGTAGAGACAGAGTCGGAATTTCCAGTATCCACAAGAGAGGATGAGATATAAATACACATCACTTGTCACCCCTGGGGCCCAAAGACATTGTCATGGAAATGAGAAATTTTATATAACTACACAATTTTCATGTGTGAAGTAACAAAATATATCTCATACAAAGGGCACAGAGAGGAATATTTTATCTCAGGGGTTCCTCTTGGCAACATGCAATGGAAATAAATATGACAGGGATCCCTGTTAGGGACGAGGCACTTACAAGGCACAACCATGTTTATAACAAACAGAGATTGCTCTCCAGCCCTGAGTTTTTATGCACAAAATATACGAGGAACTATACCTAAAGGTTTCCCACCAGTCTTTACATTCATAAGACTTCCTGCCAGTCTGTCTGATTGGATTTACAAGATTTTAAGGACAAATGAAGGCTTTCCCGCAGTCCTTCCATTCAGAGTTTCTCCCCAGTGTGAGTCCTCACATGGGCTCGCAGATTTGTCGGGTACCTGAAGGCCTTCCCGCACTGCTGACACTCGTAGGGTCTCTCCCCAGTGTGCGTCCTCACGTGGGCTCGCAGGTTGGCCGGATACCTGAAGGCCTTCCCGCACTGCTGACACTCATACGGTCTCTCCCCGGTGTGAGTCCTCACGTGGACCCGCAGGTTTGCGGGGCACCTGTAGGCCTTCCCGCACTCCTTACATTCATAGGGTCTCTCCCCTGTGTGCGTCCTCACGTGTGCCCGCAGGTTCACGGGATACCAGAAGGCCTTCCCACACTCCTTACATTCATAGGGTTTCACCCCGCTGTGCTTTCTCACGTGCACTTGAAGAGAGGAGTGACAGCTGAAGGCCTTCCCACAGTGCGGACACTCATAGGCTCTCTCCTCAGTGTGTGTCTTCACGTGGGCTCTCAGGTTGGCTGGGTACCAGAAGGCTTTGCCACACTGCTGACATTCATAGGGCTTCTCTTCACTGTGTGTTCTCACGTGTTTTTGTAAGGACGAGGACCAACGGAAGGCCTTCCCGCATTGTGCACACTCGTAACGTTTCTCCAAACTGTGCGCCCGCACGTGTCCTTGAAGGGAGGAGTGACGAGTGAAGGCCTTCCCGCACTGCTGACACTCGAAGGGCCTCTCCCCGGTGTGTGTCCTCACGTGTTCCTGCAGCGATGTGGAGCTGCTGTACGCTTTCCCACACTCCTTACACTCGTAGGGTTTCACACCACTGTGCATCCTCACGTGTCTTTGGAAATATCGAGGATGTCTGAAGGCCTTCCCACACTGCTGACATTCGTAGGGTCTCTCTTCACTGTGAGTTCTGACATGTTCTCGAAGGGATAAGGAACAAGTGTAGGCTTTCCCACATAACGAACATTCATAGGGTTTCAGCCCACTGTGCGTTCTCACGTGTCTCCTGAAGTATTTGGGACAACTGAAGGCTTTCCCACATTGCTGACAGAGATACGGTCTCTCTCCAGTGTGTGTCATCACGTGTCCTTGCAAGGACGCGGGATACTTGAACGTCTTCCCACACTGCTTACATTCATAGGGTTTCTCTCCACTGTGCGTTCTCACATGTTCTCGAAAATATGAGAGGCAACTGTAGGCTTTCCCACACTCCACACATTCATAGGGTCTCTCCCCAGTGTGAGTTCTCACGTGACGTGTAAGGTAGGACTGATACATGAAGGCCTTCCCACACACGTCACACGCATGGACTCTCTGTCCACAGTGATCCTTCACGTGACCCCAAAAGGACGACATGCAAGTGAAAGTTTTTCCACATTTCTTGCACTCTAAAGATTTTTTACTATCGCGACTCTTCAAGTCTCTCTTCGAAGCTCCCCCAGTGTCCTGAGGTTCATAAGGTTTCTCTACGAGGCCTGTGTCCACGTGAGGGCTGGGGCTCGAGACACAGCTACAGGCCGGCCTGCATTCCTCACAAGGACTAGGTTTGTGTCCAGGGTGGGATCTTTGTGGATTCTCAGGGAAAGAACCATCTGTGAAGGCTTCTCTACACTTGGCGCAGTGACAGGACTTGTCTCCAGTAGGACGATCCGCACGCACGGTAAGACTTGTCATCTGCCTTCTGGTTTCTCCACATCGATTATCTTCGCTGCTTTCACAGACCCGCTTCACCAAACGACTTCTGTTCAAAATGGGAAGGCACACTGTTACGGAATAATGATTTTAACTGATTTCTTTATTAACGATCTATTGATATTAATGATTACTTGATACATAATGGCCACTTCCAAGGAATGGGCATGTTTGTGTCACTGTCTACACTGCTATGATGTAGAAGAAGCCAAATGCTCAGAATAAGGGCCCGGTGATAGCCATAACTGTCAAACTTTCTTACATGTGGGTTTTCCTGATAAATGTCTGGAGCTGAATTATATATCTGCTAATCAATACTACATCACATTTAGGAAGAACTTGTTTAATTCTGACTACGCAACTGTTGAGCTAGGTTTATAACTCCATGCCTTCTTTAATTTCAAGTTATTCTAACAATTTGCCAAGATCCCCCTTTCTCCTATGGGAGAGAGAGGCACTCACCTCAAACTCCTCTCCTGGGATTGGGTCTGATCTCCAATGTGATGAAACACCCAGTTTTCTCCAAAAAGAGCCCAGGAATCATTTCTTGTAAATGTTACTATTTTATCTTCACTGGATAGTTCATTCTCCAAAATATTCAGCTGAATCCCTGATCCACAAGGGTTAACTTGAGTGCAACGGTCTGCAAGAATTGGAAGCACAATTTAACTTCTTGGGAATGACCTGATGTTTAATGGTAAGAAAATTCAGAAAACAGACCATTTGGGGATTTCTCTTCATATACTGATCCCAAATGTAAATGAAGTTCATCAGGAAGAATGAACATGTGACCACAGAAAAATTCTAAGGACCTTAGTGCTTTGGGACTTTGGCAATAAGAGGAAAAGCGTATGAAAAGGCAGCCTGTTTATGCGGAAATGCTTTAAAATCAGTGGTGACTAATGTGGAGATAGGATTATCGGAACTGGGCAAAATCCTCACATCCACACCCTACTTCTGTAAGAACACGGAAAGGCTTGCCACGTGGGCAAGGATGGATGAAATGTCTGACAGGAGGCCACGTGAGTGACAAAATCACCTTCTCAAAACAAGGACAGAGTCACGTTTCTAACGGACATGCGCAAATGCCATTCCCTTCTCCCTTCTCCTACTGAGGGCTGCTGGACCGTTCTGAAGGCACTGAGGCCATCAGGGGAGGCTGCACTGCCCCAGCTGCCACTGGAGGTGGGACGGTGGGTGTGGCTGCCGAGAGCTCCCCACGACAGCCCAGCAGGAGGGAGGATCTGAAGGGCCACAAGCAGTCTGGAAGATGGGCTGTTAATCTGGTCTTCAAGGTCACCGAAGAGGACAAAGTGCGAGTTTAACTGCAGCATGATTACCAGGAGAAATGGGTATGAACCACAGCGCATCTTTCGCAGAACTGAAAACCACAAAGGAGCCCAGCCTCACACTGATAAAATTAGGGAGTCTCAGACTTTGATAGAAGCAATAGCCAATTTAACACATGAAACTCTGTTTTCACCAAAAGGTATGTGACCCTCGGTAGTTTCCATGAAGGCTTGGGCCACGTCTGTCTCTCCTCCAGCATATTCCCATTCCTCGGCCCAAGGAAGATCAGACACTTCTAAGAAACACTCGTTCCCTACAACTCTAGAGGCGGGGTGGAGCCACGCTTACCCAGGGAGGCCAGGTTCCTGCAGGTCTCCAGCATCACATCCCTGTAGAGCCGCCTCTGACCACGATCCAGCAAAGCCCACTCTTCCGGGGTGAAGTTCACAGCCACATCCGCAAAGACCACTGTGTCCTGCAACATCCACATGTTCTCTTGCAGCAATGCTCCCTCCTCACCCGTGTGTGTGGGAGGATGCAGGGGCAACACGCAGGGAACCGGATTCCATTCTGAGGACCTGAGTCACACCCGTGTGGGAAGTGACAACACGCAAACACACCTCCACGGCAGTGCCCTCAGTGACGGGAAGGGCTGGGACCCCGAAGCAGAGGGCGATGACGACAGCTCATACAGACGTACATACACCCAAATATAGGCTATTTGTACTGAAAATGAGCAGATCTGAGGACACTTGTATGGTAAAGAATGAAAAATGAAATACTAGTTCAGACCACACTGAAACTGGACGGCACATCTCTGACTTGCTCAGGGACGATTACTGCCTTGTCAGCCCCAAGAACTGGAACCAGATGTCAGGATGCCGTGAACACGGATTCCAGTGCTGCTCTCGCTGGAAGGCAACAAGGTCAAGGAGCCTAGCGCAGTCCCCTCTATCCCGGCAGAGGTACACACCACCCTTTCCCTGGGTTCAGTGGACAGTGAGCAGGGACACAGGGCCCAGGGGCCTGGCACACGTAGTGCATAAGAGGAGCTCCAGCTCCTGAAGAGTCACAGAAATCAGCAGGGTCTCGACCATGTACCCCAGTGCCCAGAATGCAAGCAAAAGGGCGCCAGAAAGAGGAGCCCCTGAGAGACTGATGGTAACAGCCACTGGCGACTTTGTAACAGAGAAAGAAAACAAGGCAAATCCGCACTGTCAGAGCAACAAGGGATGACACCGCACTCGTGAAATGCAGAGTTTAAAAATCATTTTTTTCAAAAAATCTGAGACCGTCCAAACAAAAACTATGTTCTCAAAACTTAAGGGAAAAACAAAATCCCATATGCCACCCATATCACTTAATAAGAAGGTCAATTCTACTTCAACTGTGGTTACAACTGGGGTTTGCTTATCACACACCTGGTAACTCCTGTATTTTTTTTTTAAAGATTTTATTTATTTATTTGACAGAGAGAGATCACAAGCAGGCAGAGAGGCAGGCAGAGAGAGAGGAGGAAGCAGGCTCCCTGCTGAGCAGAGAGCCCGATGCGGGGCTCGATCCCAGGACCCTGAAATCATGACCTGAGCCGAAGGCAGCAGCTTAACCCACTGAGCCACCCAGGCGCCCCTAACTCCTGTATTTTGAATATGTTTTAAAAATCCATATGACCCCATGAAAAATAAAAAACAATAATATGAAGAAAAATAATACGATCAAATCATGGGGAATTAATATGAGCAGGTACCTTTCTAAGAAGATATGCCAGCGGCCAACAGGTTCCGGAAAAGATGCTAGATGTCAGTTATCAGGGAAATAGATGTCAAATTATAAGCAGATACCCCTTCAGACCCACTAGAATGGCTATAAAGAAACAAGTAAGTGCTGGTGAGGACCTGAGAAAGGGGGACTCTCTTCATTTGAGAGAGAGAGCAAAAGCAGGAGGAGCAGCAGGCGGAGAGAGAATGTGGAGCTGGATCCCAGAAGCCCAACAGAGGACTCGATCCCAGGACCCCGGGACCACTACCTGAGCCAAAGGCAGATGCTCCACCAACTGAGCCACCCAGGTGCCCTTCTCATGCATTTCTGCTGCTGGGGATGCAAAATGGCACAACCCGGGAGGAGTCCAGCGCGTCCTCAAAATGATGACCGTCCAGTCACCGTGCAATATAGCAATTCCACTCCTACTATCGATCGACCCAAGACAAGTGAAGATGAGCACCAACACTATTTCCGCACACTCTCAGGAGCTTGATTCGTAACAGCCAGCAAGTGAAAACCGCCCGAGAACCCACCGACGCTCTGAAAAGGAATAAAGGAGACATGACTCCAGTGAAATTAGAAGACCACAGGGGGAGCTCCCCCCAGTACCTCCACTGCACTCAATAGCAAGAGACAATCTTGGACACATTACTGCCCCAGCGGGACAAAGGAAGGAAAGTTTTCTCCTCCCCTGGCAACAGCCCAGCCAATGAGAGGCAGTCACAGCCTACCCTATGAGAAGACACTAGGGGGTAACCCCACGTTTGCTCCAGTGGATGTCATGTGGAACAGCCCCTCCCAATATCCCTCTCTCCTCGATGAAACAGAGGTCCCCCCTACATAACAGAACTGCAAATCTCGGGGCGCCTGGTGGCTCAGTCCACTGAGCAACTGCCTTTTGCACAGGTCATGATCCCAGAGTCCTGAGATCAAGTCCCAGATTGGGCACCCTGCCCAGCGGGAGCCTGCCTCGCCCCCCCCTCCCCCTGACAAATAAATAAAATCTTTAAAAAAAAAAAAAAAAAGAAGACTTGTAAATCTCTGCTATTACCAAGTAAACCCATTTTTGCTAGTACAATAACTGGCAGGTTTCACTTAACCAACTGAGCCACCCAGGTATCCCCAGCGGGTTTACTTTAAAAGTTAACATTACATGCATGTTTACATTACATTCCATACATTACATTACATACATACATCATCAGCCTTTCCATGACGATTACAAACCAACTCCAAATTATCTTTAAAGAAAATTCTGGTCTTCCTGTAGGTGTGGAATCCACCCAGGTAGCATTTAAGTCTATGTTTATTAAAGACCAGAACAAGTATCTTTTCCCTTTAGTCGTAAGGACCAGGATAGAATGTGAAATATGTCCACTGCAGGTAAATCTGAGAAACCGTTCACACATGTCCTAGATGAGTCACCTAAAAGAAAAACTGCTAAAATTCTCTCTTTTTTTTAAATTTACTTTTCTTTTTTTCCTAAAGTAGGCTCTGTGCCCAAGGTGGGGCTCAAACTCACGACCCTGAGATCAATCGCAAGCTCTACTCACTGAGCCAGTCAGGGGCCTCAAGACCACTGGAATTCCTAATTCTCAATTCTGGCAAATGGAGGTTCCTAAACAAAACCAAAACCTGACTCGTTTATCCTATTCTTGCAGAGGACCAGGGCAGTGGAAAAAAGATTGTTACCAACTTAAGTGCTCCCACGTCGGCTTCCCTGCAGCCAGGCTTTCCAAAGTCCTCCTCCCTCCCAATGATCGAACTGCAGGGAACCACAGGGACCCTTCCCAGTCTTCCCTTGTAATCAGCTCGAAGAAACCACTCCCCACACTGGGAATGAATCTCTGTCCTTGTTGACACGTGCCCAGCCCCTTGCTGTACAGGACCCCTCACCTAGGAGGACTACAATACAAATAGTAGAGGTCCCTAACGAACCTCAACCGTTCAGTGTCCCAACCCACTCCCTTCTGCTTAGGTCCTTTGAGAGACACCCCATTTTCTACTTAGTTCCAATGCCCCCCTCATTTCATTGGGCAGATATTTTTTAAATAAGTGTCTCTGTCCCAGAAAAGGGAAATAATTCTAGAATTTGATAACCGTAATCAACACAAAAGCAAAGAAAATAAATGACCCTTCCACATCTTTCACCTGCTCCATCTCGGACACACAATAGTAGAGACTGGAGACGCGGATCATTTGTCTTGACTGGATCACCTACATCCTCTTCCTGGGCAAAAACCTCAACTCATATTGGCAGGGTCCACAGTGTGCCTCCCATCAAGATTAAAATAGATCTCTCAGGGATGCCTGGGTGGCTCAGTGGGTTAAGCCTCTGCTTTCAGCTCAGGTCATGACCTCAGGGTCCTGGGATCGAGTCCCACATCGGGCTCTCTGCTCAGTGGGGGAGGCTGCTTCCCCTCTCTCTCTGCCTGCCTCTCTGTCTACTTGTGATCTGTCAAATAAATAAAAATAAAAATCTTTAAAAATTAAAATAGATCTCTCAAAGTGTATGCCCAGAATTAATTAATACTCTATAAATAAAGAAGTCCTTGGAAGGCATCAAGCCCATAATAGAAACTTACAAGCCTCAGAGACCCAGCATCCCACACACTAGTCCCTGAAATGGCCTCTTTTTACCTGGGAGAAAACCCAATGGCCAAAGATGGAGGTTTGTCTAGAACCTCTGAGCAAGCAACACCATTGTTAACCCTTGGCACTGTTCTTCCTAAGCCCCACATGCTACTGACTCAGTTCCTATTGTATGCAAATTCCAGGAGGAATACGTGACTCCAGGTTTTTACCAACAGAATAAAAAAATTTTCCCCAAGTCTGAAAACTGCCAATATTCAATTGGCTACTTTCGGACCTAGAGTCCCGGCTTACAACCGCCCTACAATTTGGATTTTTATGTTACTTTTGCTTTCACAGTTGTTATCTGTCAAACATTATAAAATTGATGTATCCAACAAGGAGATCATCTCCAGTGCTTACCATCTTGATAAACAGGGACCGGAGATGACTGCCTCAGACTCCTCCTTCCTAATGTTTCTTGTTATTCAAATACAGCCTTAACCGGTTTTCAACTGCCATGTACTTTCCCTAGGACGTAGGACATCACTACCAGGAAAGCTCTTTCCTGGCACCAAGAAACAAAACCACTAAAAATGGAAAACTGACTTGTAATCAATGATGCATCTGAGAAAAGGCCTCTATCAAAAGGGTAAAATGTAAAAAATACAGGGAAATCTTGCTAGGAATGGAGTCAGGAGGGGCACCTGGGTGGCTCAGTCAGTTAAGCGTCTGACTCTTGGTTTCAACTCAGGTCACGATCAACCCCCACGTCAGGGTCCACACTCAGCAGGGAGTCTGCTTGGGTATTCTCTCTCCCTCTCCCTGTGTCCCCCCCCCACCCCGTTCATGCTCTCCCTCTCTAAAATAGTAAATATTTTTAAAAAAAGAAGGAGGAGGAGGAGGAGGATGTAGGAGGAGAAGGACGGAGTCCGAGACCAGCAGTTGGAGCCCCCACAACCTACCACTCCTGATCAACTGCAGAAGCAACAGCAAGAGAAGGACCTTGCGGCCACACGTGGATAAAATAGTAAATATTTTTAAAAAAAGAAGAAGGAGGAGGAGGAGGATGTAGGAGGAGAAGGACGGAGTCCGAGACCAGCAGTTGGAGCCCCCACAACCTACCACTCCTGATCAACTGCAGAAGCAACAGCAAGAGAAGGACCTTGCGGCCACACGTGGACACCACTTTACTATGACAACAGGAGGAAGATTATTTCCCCACATGGCAACAGCCCAGCCAATGAGACAGATACAACTCAGCCAATGGGAAGCAACGATACTTCCAAACCCAGCTGCTCCAATGGACTTTGTTTTATGGAATTATTAAAATACTTTAAAATGAGTGTGAAAATGGTAGAATAATTCTGTAAATACAATAAATACCATAGAACTTTATCCTTGAAACAGATAAACGTCACGGTTTGTGACCCACGCCTCAGTTGAAGCTATTTAAAAAAAATTGTCATAGAGGGGCACCGACGTGGCTCAGCCGGTTAAGTGTCCAACTCTTGATTTCGGCTCAGATCTTGATCTCAGGGTCATGAGATCGAGCCCTGCGTGGGGCTCTGTGATCAGTACAGAGTCTGCTTGAGTTTCTGCCCTGTCCTGCTTCCCTTCCCCCTACTCACATGTGCTCTCTCTCTCTTTAAAAAAAAAAGGGGGGGGCGCCTGGGTGGCTCAGTGGGTTAAAACCTCTGCCTTCGGCTCAGGTCATGATCTCAGGGTCCTGGGATCGAGCCCCGCATCCGGCTCTCTGCTCGGCACGGAGCCTGCTTCCTCCTCTCTCTCTGCCTGCTTCTCTGCCTACTTGTGATCTCTGCCTGTCAAATAAATAAATAAATAATTAAAAATAAATAAATAAATATTTTTAAAAAGTCATACAAGCTAAAAACATATCCTCCTTAATCTTTTGGCAATTTTACTCAAAAACAATAGAATTTAGGCAAGTAA